CCCCCCCTCCCCGCCCCCGTCCAGGTGCGAGAGCTGCGTGGAGATGCTTTTCGTCCGCGGCTCGGGAAACTGCCAGGAGTGCGACACGCCGCTCAGGAAGAGCAACTTCCGCGTGCAGTTCTTCGAGGACCCGGCGGTCGACAAAGAGGTGGAGATCAGGAAGAAGGTGTTGAAAATGTAAGCCGTGCGCCTCATTGGCTGCTCTGGTGGTGTAAATGTGCTGGGGGGGGGGGGCACCTCCCTGCTGTTAAGGGCCTCTCTCTGAGATGCCATTGTCCTTGGAATACAAACGTTTGTTTTGTATACAAAACCTCTCCTCCCCTAACCCCCAGCGCGGTGACAGCTTTCTTCAAACCCTAAACAATAGCGCAGGCCGTTTCTGTGGAGATCCCTCTCCCAGACTCTTCCTGCCGGCCTGAGGCTTTCAGCCTGCTTGGGGGAGGGAGGGTCCTGCTGTACCTGCATGAACGTGGTGCAGAGGCGCTGAGCAGTGAGCAGTCACCCCCTCGGGTTACTGGTGCCCAGTGAGGACATATCTGGGATAGGAGGCATTGTGGAGCACCTTCAGTTTGAAAACTGCTCACGATTAGAGGTGTTTCAAGTGCGCAACCACAGTGTTTTTTTAAAGGAAGCTGTTACCAAATTTGAGAGACTACTTAAGCGGGGTTTGTCAGCACCTTTTTTTTTTCTCCAGACGGATTTGCATACACTGACTTTTAGTTTTATTTCACAGATGCTTAGAAAAGAATGCAAATGTTATGTTTTAGCTTGAAAAAATATTTTTTTGGGGTTTTACTTTAGAGGTATTTCCACCGCCTTGTGCTGACGCTGTGAAACCAGTACCTGTTCTTTAGAAGAACCATGTTGGTTGGCCACTATAGTGAAGACAACGCAGGTCAAAAGGACGTGTGTGTATTTTAAGGGCACATGATGCAGAATCTTAACACTGCTGTTCTGAAGGAGGTGAACTCCCGAGAATAATGCAATAAAACAGCTTTGAAAGGATGTGCATGTTTTGCAGAAATAAGGTGCCCAGGCTGCAGCTGTGCAGAAATGAAACGACCACGATGTTAACAGAGATTGTTGTTGTATTTCCCTGTGCAGCTACAACAAGAGAGAGCAAGATTTCCCCAGTCTGCACGAGTACAACGACTACTTAGAGCAGGTCGAAGAGATCAGTAAGGCTTCTGTGATTTCCTTTTCTCTCTTGTCCTTCTTTTTTTTCCCCACAGTTGCCTGTTTCAGGCCAAGTGTGTATGGACTGCTAGTGAAATTGAATTGTTGGGGAGAAAAAATAGGTTCAAGGCATCAGCAGGGGAGTTTTTGCGAGAGTCTTCTTGGCAAGTCGTCAAAATTTAAAGCGGGGTATTTGGAGGTTTAAAAACAAAAGGTGCCAATATCGAACAAGGGCCAGGCCCTCCTGTATATATTTTTCATGGGAGAGGAATGTAGTGTCCGTGCAGTATTCTCTCGGTAGTAAACAGGTGGCAGTTCTGTTCTGCAGGTTCACGTCTGTGTGTGGTTTTGATTTTTGACTCTCTTTATGTCCTTGGATGGGGGATGCCAGCTCTGGGAGCTGTGTCCGCAGGCTGTTTCAGCGCATGTGGGCGTGGATGCATTACCATCATTAGGTCTGAGAGACGGTCTGTCAGGGGCTGCCTCGCCGTCCGGTCTCCGCTCAGCCTGTCTGACTGGGGTGGGAAGCGGCAGACGACGGCGAGCTGTACTTTGGTCTGCGCCGGCTGTCATGAGATCATCGATTTCTGTTTTTTTTTTTTCCCTCTTTTGTGCCTCGGTTTCTCATTAAAGCCAGATTCAGGGATCTAGCAGTCCCGTGAAATGAGTTGCACCACTAAGTAAGGCAGGTGCAAGGTAGTAGGAAGTAGAGAGTTGAGCTGAGAGCCTACTCTGGCGAACAACTTGAGGATGTGGCCTATGAGGCCTCATTATTCTATATTCATTGTTGAATTCACCCTCAAAATATATGTTAAAGTGCCTGTTTAGGGGCACTTTAGGGAAATTCTATATAGATTGTGGAAGAGAAAGAACAAACTGAATTCCTGTTTATTTAGCTGTGACTATTGAAAACGTTTAAAAAAAAGTAATGTTTGATACCTGGAAGAAAAAAAAGAAGACTCATTGAATGGTAAATGGTTTGATCTGAACAATGGCACACAAAATGTTAAAGATCAGCCTCTGCCTAACCTGCACGTCTGTGTTTATTTTTCTGCACTTCCTGATTTTGATAACAATGAGTTCAACCCCTTTTCTTCTCTGCAGTCTATAACCTGACAAACAATGTGGATGTCGAGACCACAAATCAGATGATAGAGCAGTACAAGAGGGAGAATAAAGATGTCATTCAGAAGAACAAAGTCAAACTGGTCAGTACCTGTTTCCATCCTCTGCGCATAGTTTGGTATTGACTAGTGCTGAAGGCGTTTTTTTCCTTAGTTCAGTTTGGGTTTGACTCAGGAGATTTAGCAGGACTTTCTCAAGGTTCTGCTGTGTCTCCTGCTACTGAGAGTGAAAGCGTACAGTCTGCCAGTTTGGCACGACCTATGACAGATGAAGCTTCGTAACTGAGATGGGGCGAAGGAGAATCTGGGTGTCGTTCCTCCGTGCCGTGATCCACTCTCCCTTGCGTTGGTGACTGAATAAGACTGTGGACAGCAGCTGTCAGTCTGTAGTTGAGTTACTGGCGGTTCTGGTCCATCTCCTAACTTGCTAGGACTAGAGTCAGCATAGCGCTTGGATTCCAGGGTTTGTCCTCTCTCTTCTTTCTACCTGCCCCCTGCGCTCTCTCTGTGAGGCACAGGAGCAAGGGGAGCTGAGAGGATTCTTGCCGTTGTGCCGTTCTGACACATCCCCCTCCCTTCCCTTCCCTCTCAGACACGGGAACAGGAGGAGCTGGAGGAGCTCCTGCTGTTGGAGCAGCAGGAGACCGAGCAGAGGCGGCTGGAGCTGCTGCAGGAGGAGCACCGGCAGCTCCTGGCTAAGAAGAAGAACAAGCAGGCTCTTCTGGATGAGCTGGTGAGCCCTGAGATGAGTCAGCTAGGTTGGGTAGGAGAGTCCAGGCTATCTGGCCATGGAGGACAGTGTCCAGGCGGTCAGTTGAATTCAGTTCAGTTTAATTCAACGAGCTGTATGGACATGATGGATGAATTACAGTGTCACCAAAGCTTATACAATTAACACAACATCTTCAGACATTGACAGTACAAACTTGTCATAGGACATGTACATACAACATACAACAGAGCATTATTGAGAAACGGGCTAACTATTCCTCAGGCTGGGACAGGAGACCACACACTGTGCTGCCAGTTCAGCTGAGTTCCCTCCTGCCTCTCCCAGTAGGATCGGGAGCTGTTCCCATTCTGGCTGGGATTGTCTGTCTCTGGGACTGTGTAGGCCTACTTGCTTCAGATGATGCTTTGGCAGATCAACAGGTGTGGCTATAGGTGCACCAGACTTCCATACCCATTCTGTGCACCTCTTCTTCTCGACTCAATTAGAAGAGATTTCCAATGCATGGGACAGTGTCTAGATCTGCCCCTCGACCTAGACTCATATTTTCAGGTTACTGCATTGCTCTGAATCCTGTGTAACCCTTCTCCTGTCTGACAACAGTCAGCAACGACTGTGAACTCTGACACCTTGTGCTCTTTTATAGTTGTGAGTAAAGAGCACAGACATTCCGCACTGTACAGATTACTGTCGGCAGGCCTGAATGAGAGCTTGTTGAGAATGCTCTCCCTGTGTTTTTAAGAGTGCACAGCTTATTGTTTCTTGCGTTTTTGAGGTGCTTTTGGTTGCCATTAACGCTCTGTGGCTTCAGCATCTTCCTGGCCTGTTGTTTTTAAGGTTAATGGTTTCAAATGAGCACCTGTGTTGCCTGGGAAAGGGTGAGTGTGCTGTTTGTTTAACAAGTGCTTCCTTGTTAGGAGGTGCAGGTGACTGAGATCCAGACTCCCTCAGGAGACGAGACGGACAGTGAGATCGCTGTGCTCTGCAGCACAGGGATTCCCAGAACACGCTCCGATTGGCTTCGTTTGATGACTGATTTGGCTATGCCGTATGTAAAGATATACACATGCCAATTGGTTGCGAACGTGACTCTCATCTTCTGACCTACTAGTGGCTGAGAGGGTCAACTGTGGAGCCCGTCTGTGCTTTTCGTGTTGTTGGTTTCCACTGGGGAGGGGTTGCAGATGTTATTTTATGGAGACAGAAGTTGGACTCTACGTGCACAGCAGTTTGATCCATTTCAGGTTTTGCAAATGGCAGACTCTTACGTGACTCAACACCCAAGCATTAGGCATTTCAGGTTTGTTAATTCCGAACAGAGAGACATCAGGAGATAGTTATATATATGTTCACGCATGTTTTGGGCTTAATAATCTCTATTTATAAAAAAAAGCGTTCTATTTTTGTCTGGTTCAGGTTAGAAAGAAACAGTTAGATGGAGGTGCTTTTCAGGTCAGCTGCGCAATGGGAATCTTTGTTTCTAGTTCTCTTGTCAGTGGTAGACGAGTCTGAATGTGGGTGTGGGCCTCTGCCCAAACCAGCGCTGTGGAGCGGGAGACAAGGGCTCCTTTCAGCAGCGTGACGGCAGCTGACAGATGGGAGAAGCCAGTTTGTGTTAGAGGGCACCTCCGCGCGTTCTGCCGGGTTAACCCCAACCCAGCTCCTGCCACCTCTTCCCCGCTGCCCAGCCCCCTGAACCACACCGACAGACAGCCCGCTGCCTCTACAGCCTCTAACCTGGGGGCAAGGGCCCGGCTGCCGCTCTCTCAAGGACAAGGGGTGTATTTGTCTACCCCCCCCATAGCATCAGCCCTAGTCATAAACCTCCAGAAACACAGATCGCCGCCAGGATCAGTCTGCATGTGCGTGCGTGAGTGCAGCTGTAAGACGATAATGGGAGATAATTTTGCATTGGAGATGAGATCGTGGGCAGATTGAGCTCAGTTTTTAATTTTTTTGTGGATCCTGAAAACAAGGGGTCGTTGCAGATTATATTATTAGCCAATTTTTAAGCTCAGTGTTGGAATTTTGGGGCCCAAGTCAGGTTTATGACGAGTGATTTTTTTTTGTTCTTTTTTGATTTTTTTTTTCCCTGGAAACTCTCTGGGGCCGGGATGGCGCGGCGCACCGTGCGATAATTGTATCCCAAAAGGTGTAACCAAGCATTATGCAATCTAGTGCTTTTACAAGAGCCTTTATCAGTGGTGTTGATTGTTTCCCACTCATACATTTTGGATTGGGGAACACGTCGAATTGCTTTTGTCGCACATGCACTTTTTAACTCGGATGAATTATCTGAACTGTTGTGGTTCCCTTAAAAAAAAAACAGCCCATTGTTCTTTGATCAGTGCACTGTCATGTTCGCGTTTCAGCCCTCTCACAGACTTCTGGCAGCTGAACTCTGAAGCTGAAATGAGGGGAAGGTGTTCTGTAAATGAAAGAAATGTAATATTATTGTACAGGCGCCTGTTGAGTTCCTGGCTGATGACCCAGTGTCCCCCACTGTTGGTATTCAGTGTCTGCTTGTGGAGTTCACTCTGCGTCTTCATACTAACACAGCGTTAACTTTGCCACCGTGTGTTGCAGGAGAGCTCCCAGCTGCCGGCCTCGTTGCTCCTGGCCCAGCACAAGGGTAGAGCTGCACAGCTGGAAGTCCAACTGGAGAAGCAGCGCCAGGTTGTCAAGCCCACCACCTTCTCCACTGGCATTGCCATGGTGAGAATACACGGACTTGGGAAGGGTGGGAAGGGGAGAACCAGGGAAGATGGCGGCACACGGCATGCCTCCCACAGTTTGCAGAGTAAGGTATTTGCTGTTAGGAGTTACCATGTGTTAACGTGTCCCAGGGGCTGGATACATGTGATACTGGGCCCGCTAAGGTTCTCAGGCTCTTGATCTTGTTCAGTAGTACAGGAAGAGCCGGTCAAGTGACCTTCCCACCTTTCAACTCTGTGCCCCTTAATAATCTGGCCCGGCAGAGCAGGGGGCTTCTGTGCAGCAGCTGTGCGGGTCACTTGGAGACCGACGCACTTCCTAGTCGCGCTCTTTGAAGCAGATCACCAGCGAACTTCCCAGCCCCTTCAAAATCAAGTCCTGTCCAGAACGACGAAGCTAATATCTGAACGCAAAATAAGATGTATAGTAAGACAGCCTTGTGTGGGAATTGCTGTAAAGTGGAACATGTCAAATGCTAAATCTCCTTTGTATAGACTTAAGAAACACACCGTCCTATAATTTTAAATTTTTCATAATAGAAGAATGAAATCATATGAATACAATTGATATATAAATAAAATAAATTATGTTGTAAAAATGTGCTGAGATAAAATACAATATTTTTTTTCCAAACATATCAGAAAACTTGATAAAGGAAACAGACCAGGCCTAAATACGCCTAAAAATATACGTCCCTTCTCTAGTTCATGGTACAGTTGTCTTCCGCCTCAAGGTGAACGCAGCCACCTCTCTGCCTGTGACATCAGTGCAGCTGTGCCAAGAGGAGGATTTTGTTACCTAGACAGGAAAATGAACACCGCCTTCTCCAGTTCTATGATTTTATCTCCAGAAATGGCAGGGTGGCTGTTAAAGTGCTGTAGCAAGTAGATTCTGCAAATATAAGTTGAGGTGTTTGTTCAAAAGCGGAGGGTTAGTATCTGAATGAGTTTAAGTGGTGGGTTTTCTGGTTTACTGCTTAGTTTCACTATAGTATTGGTCCTTTTCCTCCCTTGTGATCAGAAACGTCGGGGTATCTCAGAAACCTCCTTTGCCAGTCAGTTTGCCACCTTCCCTGTCATTCCTCTGAAGTGAATTCTTTAATATTTAGAGTCTATCGCAGCTGTTTCCCCCCAAAACACTCTGGTTCATTCCCAGTCTTTGATTCAGCTGCCTTTTTAGTAGTTTTTCTTTTTTTTTTTTTTGGCCCAGAAAGTTGTTTTAGGAGCTTTTGCCTTCAGGATATGCGTTAAAAAAAATGGCATGCTTTTCATGTAACGGGCAGATGAAAAAAACAATATCCCAAGTAACACCAGTGTGGTCTTCTCGAGGTTGATACGACTGAGATAAAAAAAAGCAATTGCCTGTGGATTGGCAAGATGGCTTTGCTGTGAAAACATCTAGTGCGATGAGATCATTTCTGCGTAATTGCCCCGAACCAGATGACCCTGAGCTATCCTATACATGCGTTGCTCAAGATGGGTTGTTCATATCCTGAGAGCAGGTCCTGGTGCCTTGTGGCGCAGGTCACAGGTCAAGGGTCACAGAAAGGCGGCCCTGTCATTCCACACGGCGCGTACCCAGCTTCGTCAGAGCTGCGGCTGCCTGCCAGTAAGAGCACTAATAATGAGACGAGGGAGTGAGAGGGGCTTTCACCACCTGGGCTGGAGAGGAGGTTTGAGGTGCTGCCTGCAGCTGTCTGGCAGCCAGTATCAGAAATGTTCCGCATTTTGCTTTCTTAATTCATTTTTCTTCTCTCGTCCACGGACTGTGGTTAATTGCGCGTCCTTGTGAGCTTCGATTCTGTGGCGGGGTGCTTGTTTCTAGTATTATGGTTTCGGTGGAGTATTAATCCAACCAGTCACCCCCGCCCTCTCCCCCCGCCAGCGGCGCCGTAGCAGGTAACTGCGCGTCAAATACTAGTTACAGATGAGTGAATGCGTCTTTGGAAGTGTGATTAATCTCTCTCGGCGATCCAGACGTGTTTGTTCAAGGAAATGCCAGAGTCAGTGTGGCGTTAGGATTGAGAATTTATTCAATTAATTTGTTAAACCGCAATCTAACACCCCCCCCCTTCCCTCTCTACCAAGTGAAAAGAAAGTGCAAATGTGCAGTTTAGGGAGTAATCGAAGACCTTATGCACTAGGAAAAGAAAACAATTAAAGCTATTCTGAGCAAGCGATAGTGCAGGATTCACGGCTGAATGGTTTGTGCCACTGTGTGCGTACTCTTTTTTAAAAAAAAACTGAAATCCAGAGTTTTTAACAGTACGGGACCGGCCTGCTGGCACACGGCTCGGTCAGCCCTGTAGAAGCTCCCTGTGGTGTCCGGACAGAGTAGTGTGGGGCTTTGTAGGAAATCTAGAGATCCGACTGCGGTCTTGGCAGACAGCTTGGTGTTCTTCATCACAGTAGGCGTCTCTTGACATTTAATTGTACTGTAGTCTAGAGCTCTGTTGTTTAACCGAGCAAGAATGACACGAACTGGCATCGTTTTCCTTAAACGCTTCCTTGCCAGTGCACCAGGAAGAGATCTTATGGGGGACTAGGGTACCTGTTTCTAAATCTTTAAGAATGAAATGCTGGGATGTAAATGCATGGCCCTTCTGTGCTGCGGTAGGAAGGCATGGAAGCCGGCGGCCCAGAATGCTGAGCGTTGGCGCCTGAAAGCAGGAAGGACGGGTCCGTCGGGCCCTGGGGTCCCGCTCATAATCTGCACGTCGGCAACCACCCCACGCAGAGGGAGGTTGAAAAGAGCTGCCCTTCTCTTCTTGAAAGGAATGCGAGCTGGCTGTTGTTAAGGGCTTACAGGTCAGGGGGGTGTGTTCCTGTTGTCGGCGTCGTCGCGGATCGGATCCCTCCAGTATATTTTACCCGCTGGACAGGAAAGCGCGTATGGTGGTGGAATCGTCCATTGTGGAACTGCCAGGTCTGCCTTGAGCTCTCCTCGTGACAGACGCACAGTTAAAACCTTTCATTTCTTTTCCGAATTTCTGGGGTTTATGGTGTAACCCGTGTCTACGCAGTGAGGTTTCTTTTGCCCTTTGGATTTTGTTTCCCCAGTTGAGTGCTTCGTGAATACCGTTCCCTTCCCGTGTTGCTGTTCTACTGTTCTAGTAACAGCTGCTCAGTGTGCGTGGTTTCAGATAGCTGATGTCATGTTGGCTGTGAACACAGGCTGGGCTTTTTTGGGGCTTCTTTGTCCCCGAGACCGACGGGAAGCCTTGACCAAAACTGCACGGTGTCCGGAACACATCACAGGTGTGCGAGGATTAAACCGTAATCCCTGGAAATGAGTCGGGTCCTGCCTGAGGAAATTGATCCTAAATAATCTTCCGCTTTGTACCAGTGCAACAGACATGTACCCACAGTTTTGCGGCTTTGAAGGAAGGAATCCCTAAGCAGGCTAGATTGACCGAATGGCCTTCTCTTGTTTGTAACTGTTCTTATATTCTTAACGTGGTGGATTAGTGCATTTTATCTGTTATTAGTGAATATAAAGGCACACTAGGCTGTATCTCCTTTTAAAGGTCGTACAGCTACACACTTCCAAAACATTAGCCCTGTCTCCATCTTAGTGTGCTTGGTCCTTTGAGTTTGCTAGGCCACTTTCTGTTTCAAACATTATTTGGAATCTTGTACAAACACCCGCCCGGGCTTGTCTCCGAATGCGAAGCAGAAAGGGTCCGAGGATGTTGCATATCGCTCCTGAGAGGAGGAATTACAGAAGCCTTCCTGTTATGGAGTGTGAAAGAGCCATGTGGTTTACAACCCAAGTTCAAAGGGACATTTTTGGCATTTTCATCCGCTGTTCGAAAAAGCGACCAGTAAACAAGGAGACTGCTTACTGGGTGAGATGGGTGCTGGTGGAGGCACCTGTGACAGCGTATCTTGTAAAGCTTCTTCCCAGATTCCCGGATCTGGCTGTGGAGGGCTTAGCGCCCAGCCTGTTGTGCCTGAACAGATCTGACCTCTGAAGTATCTGACCACCTTTGTCCAGGATTTCATCCCCCGGCCTAAATAAAACATTCTTTTGCTGATCGCGGGCATCTCAGTGCTGTTCCAGGGTTTCCATATGAGCGCTTTGTAAAAAGCAGCTGACATGCCACACGTTCTGGGCAAGTACATCAAACGAGAGGAAAAGATTTGTCCAGAAAAAAATACGTTTGGAAATGAGTTCCCTCTAGCTGTAGGTGCCAGCTAATGACGTCTGGCGTTGTCAGAGAGATTTGATCAGCACGCTTCTCCAGTGTGGTCATGAGGGTCTTTCTGACTACCTGTAGCTGAACCTTTTGGTTAGACTCACAGCATGACATGCATGACAACTTTAAGCATGTGGCAGTAACAGCAGTATAAGGAGCTGCAGAATAATCCTCTATAGGCTCAGCACCTTAAAACCTGTCCGCCTGCGTCTAATGAGGATAATCAGGAAAGTTTCGGGTGATTATAGTAGCATGTAAGTGTTCAAACTAGATTTTATTAGAAATGCAGATGGCAACCTTTCCAAGACAGCCAGTGCGAGTGTCTGTGTTATTTTTAGCTCCCAATTGTAGTGTAAGCAGTGTCCCCTCTTACGATCCAACCCATCATTCCCAACTGCTTCCCATTCCACAGGATGGGAACGAATTGTCTGAAAGAGCGTCGCGGCGGACAGGAAGCCTGTGGAAGATGGGAGGCTGTATGTAGACTGGCCACAGGTGGAGAGACAACAGGCTGTGTTGGAGTGCAGTTTCCCTTCCTGGTGCTACACTGAGGCTGAGCAGTGTGTCTAGTAAGGGGAGGGGAGACTGCTTACCCAACAGGTTCAGCTAGTCTGATGGGATCTAGCCCAGAATAAAGTGCATGACTGCCTCTGTGGAGGTCGCCCTGGAGGTCAGCGGAGCCAGAGTGCTCTTCGGGCTTGAGCTGACTTGCAGCAGCAGCAGCAGCAGCGATGAGAGCAGAGACGGCTCTTTCAGGGATCTCTCATTGAAGAGCTTGCAAGCAGAGGTCGTTGCTTTAGGA